ATGTCCCTCACTGCCCATGTGTATAAATGGGTATAGACCGACCACTTTCATAAATGGCTGTGGGATTAATATTCTTTTGTTTAAATTTAAATTAGCCCTTCTGGCCTCGCTTGAGATAATGTATTCCTTTGAATTTTGTACTGGAGAATGACGCCAGTAGGGCTAATTTAAATTTAAACAAAAGAATATTAATCTGGCAGCCATTTATGAAAGTGGTCTATAGGCAGATGTAATTGTGAGGGTTGCCCTCTCTGATTGATAAGCATCCTATAAATACTCCTTGTCACTACATGCTTTAGAAACTGTAGTTAAGTGCTGGCAGTAAAATGCCAAATGCTAGACTCCTTTAGACAAATATTTAGTACCTACATGTATCTATCAATAAAGAAAGAAACTAGAATGACAGGGATTGATGTGATCGAGTTATTTGATGATGAAAATAAGAGTATATTGCCTACCTGTAAATCTTTTCAATTCCTTTTTCTTTAATTTTCAATGCTGCATGTGGACATTGTAGTACAGTACTACTTACATGAATTATTAGTTCATGTCACTTTAAAAGACAACTTTTATACATTGTATTTCAAACTAGTGGTACAGTTTTTCTCAATTGTTTAAATTTGAAATTTAGTTGGGATTAATTGCTGTTAGTACATGTTGGCATTTCAGTGGGTGAAGAAAGGCAATTAAGCTCAAAGAAAGGAAAACAGAAGGTATTACATAATGTAATGAGTGTATTTCACTAAGTTCCCTTACCTCAAGTTGTGATCGTTTCCTTTGGTTGCAAATAATTTTGAGATTCCTGTTACATGTACCTCAACTAATTGTCTGTCAAAGTTTGCTCAGTCTTCTTAATCCAACAATAAATGTTATACTTCTAATACAAGGCAGCTACTATACCAGAAAATTATTATTATTGTAATAATTGGCTCCCTTTTTGGTTCATATTTTTTCTCTGGCTCTTCTTGACCAAAAAAATGAACCCCAATTCATTTTTTTTAAAAAAAATCAGCAGTTCTTGCAGATAAACTGAATTCTTTCTACTTTGAAAGTCTATCATTGAGTCCAAACCTATACATTATGACATTGACATTGACATTCAGGTGTTGGTTTTTTTTATCTATAATGGCATGAATCTTAGTCAAACAAAATATGTGTACATAGATGTGTCTACAGTACATAGTCCACATTATCACTGCCCTTTAAATTGATTTGTTTGACTATTTATTGTACTAATCAGAAATGTGCTTCATGTGGTGGATTTAATGCAAATGCAAGTAAGGGGTGCAAAGGATGTGGTGCTGAAATCAAAATTAAAAACCTTTGACTGAGAGAAGTTGAAAACAAAAAAAAAGACACATCCAACACAGCAGCATAAGATACTCGAATACCGGGTAAGGATCGGAAATGAAGCTTCCTGCATTTTGTGTAATATTATTAGAATAAAACAATTTATAATGATATATGTGAAATTAATATCCCCCCTGGCCAATCTGCACCCATGCATACCACCTGGGAAGAGAAATTGTAAATTGTTTGTTAGATACTGTATTTTGGTAACCCAACACTTCCAGATAATATCTATTACTGCCTGATGGAAGATGAATCAAAAATTGAGGTACACAGGTGGGAGAGCCAGAAGCCAACCTTCTTTGAACAAAGGCCCTTTGATCTTCCTAGATTAGTCGGCCTCTGCTCGTAGGGTAGCGTGGACATCCACCAAAACCGTGATCAAAACCATCAACAGTACTTTTTGAATTTTATCTATGGCCAATGTTAGATCTTCAAGGAAGCAAAAGAATTATATTTCACGAAATGTTAGCCGTTTACTTTGTGGCTGATTATTTCTAATAATGCACAAATGCTGACCAAACGTTCCTTATGAAATCATAAGACATAAAATAAAATTAAATTGGTTTTGGGGGATGCTTCTCTCTCCATCCACCAAAATCACCATGACCCACTACTGGAGTAAATAACCACAATTTATTTCTTTGTACATAGATATTTTTGCA